CCACGTCACTATAAAAAGTTTTTTAAAAAGAATTAATCAATGGCTTAATTTAGGAATTTCATATTTTCATTTAGATCTCTGTTCCATTTGAAGCATTTATCATTTTAAAATTGTATAACTGTATATATATTCCACCCCCTCCCCCTGTAAATCCTCTTGTAACTAGGAAACAGAATAAATTATATCTTTCAGAAAAGAAAACATCTTTTGCAAAAGGAGAAGGTTAATTATGTGAGAGGAGGAGTTATTCCTTGCCAAAGCCAAGACCCATATAAGAAAGACACAATAAGTGGTAGGTTTGTTGTTGTTGTGTGCTGTCAAGTGAGCCCCGACTCATAGCGACCCCTCCTTGGGTTTCCGAGGTAGCATCACTGCAGAAGTAGATTGCCCCATCTTCCTTCTGAGGAGTGGGTGGTGGGTTTGAACCGCCAGCCTTCTGGTTAGCAGTCAAGTGCTTTAGGCACTATGCTACCAGAGCTCCCAGTGGGTAGACTGTTGTTGTTACGTGCTGTTGAGTCGGCCCTGACTCATAGCGACCCCTCCTTGGGTTTCTGAAGCGGTATCACTACAGAAGTAGATTGCCTGACCTTCCTTCTGAGGAGTGGCTGGTGGGTTTGAACTGCCAGCCTTCTGGTTAGCAGTCAAGTGCCTTAGGCACCACGCCACGAGAGCTCCAAGGCACCTTGCACTGCCCTGACTCGACCAGAAGGGGCAGCAAGGAGCCCAGGATAATTCTTTGCCTCCCTCTCCACACTCAGGTGCTCCATGAAAGTTCACTGGCTGCCTGGCCACACTCAGAAGCTGACTGCTGCTGTCAGAGTCATGGCACCCCAGGTTCTACTGCCCATCCTGCTTCTGTGTGTACTGCTGCTGCAAGTCCAGGGAGGGCCCCTCAATCCCTACCAGAAGAGACTGAGGAGTAAGTGACAGGCTGAGGAGGGGCCATGAGGAGGGGGCTGGAGGGGCTGTTCCCAGTCTGAAGACCCTAGGAGTTGGTACTTCTCAGCATAGCTGGCTCTGACCCCAGGTTGTGAAGAAACCGGGCCCTTCCACACTATGGCCTCCAGTCCCTTCACTGGCCCTGGAAAAAGTGCTTGGGAAGAGGGGGCAGCCTACATCTTTTTATTCTCCATTCCACCATGCAGAGACAGATGGTGGACACGTAGTGAAAGGTGCCCCAGGGCTGAGTCAGATGGGAGAGAACAGTAATTAGTCTCAGATGTATGCACATTTGTGAGGGATAAACATATTCAGAGATGTGGGTCGGTGTGGAAAGAAAGGGCATTGGACAAGCAAAATGTGGGGTCTACTGGACCAAGGTCTAATTTTCATCGAGGGACCAGCATGCTAGTGGTGGTAGGGACTGAAAGTGGTGAGTTCTGGACAGGAGTACTGGAGACAGTGAAGTGACGAGAGGAGGGAGGGAAGGAGAGCCTGTTCTCTTCCTCTCTGTAACGCTGAAAGCTCTGGAGAAGCAGGGAGAGGTTGAGAGGACCTCTATGTCTTCCTTGAATTCTCAATGTCAAAGCATAGATTACATGAGGGTGACCTTATCCAGACCATGACTAGTAAGGGAGACAGGGTCCAGTAACAGGTATGGGAGAGGGTCCAGGAGGCCCAGGCAATGGGAGGCCTATTGAGGCAGGAAGGAGGCATAGGATTTTAAATAAGAACAATCCATAGGATTTCAAGGGGCAGGAAGAGATTTTCCTGAAAAGTCTGAGATGTTGTGAGTGGGAACTGGGTTCTGGGGTCTTGGAGGAGGCTGTCAAGCTTGAGAACAGGGTGCTTTCTTGGGGCCTGGTTCCACTGACCATACCTCCTACTCTATTTCAGAACCACAGGGACTTCTAGAAATTAAGGTCTGTGAGAAGTTGCCAAGCATACATCAGTGCAGTCGCCATTGTTCATATTTCCAAGAGTGTCAAGCATATAATGTGTGCTGTTCCACCTTCTGCGGGAATGTCTGCATGAGCCTTCTGTGAGTAGGGGCCTAGGCTACTTGCCTCCTTGCCCCTGCTACCCTCTCCTCAGAGATGGTGCCCGTGACTGAAGCATGACGATAAATCCTGGCCATCAACAAGGATGCTGCCCTCCCCACTGTGTGAACTGCTTGTTGCTGTCAGATAAACCAGGATGAGCCCAGGGACCCTGCCTGTGTACTCCCGCTCCTGTACTCATTGCTAACTCAGTGCAGCACCCACACTTGCCCCACGCCCTCATGTGCCCAGGTCCCCACCTCTCTCTCCAGGTCCTGCTTTCTCTCTCTCTCTTTGGCCCACACATTCCTGCCCTGTCCAAGAGGCTTAGCCCCTTGTCACTCTGCTCACTCACCCAGGACTCCTAGGGGGTAAAACTGCTCATGTGTGGCCCCTTCAAGCGCTAAGGAGAACATTTTTGCATCAGAAGGGCCAGATAGAGCCAGAGCCCTGTGGAGATTACAACATGGTCACAGAATGGAAGTGCCCCAAGGGACTATATTTTGTGAGGAAAATGAATCCCAAGGAAGTGAGGTAATAAGCCCAGGTCCCGAAGAGAGCGAGAGGACATGATGCAGCTTGCTCAAGGATGATGTTTCCTCTGGATTCCCTCTATTTGCTCCTTGTAGCTCCATTGTAGAGAGACCAGAGGCAGTGCCTATGTTAATTCCGCACCTTCTGTTCCATCATCTGTAGGTAGGCCACCCTACCACAGGGTCTAAAACGGTTGCCAGGAGCTGTGGTTCCAGTGCCTTCTACACTGAGTGGTCCTTAACTTTCCCTGGTCTTCTTCCCTATGTTCTCATTCTCTTTTCTCTTAATTTAGAGACGAGGAATGGGGTAGCTTCACCCTCCCTAAAGGTCAGAAAGAGGAACCATCAACCAAATAATTACCAGGACTTCTGATACCTCCAGAGGTAGGTGGAGTCAGAGTCCTGGGGCTGGGGGTGTGAGTAACAAAAGCTTTCCTTTGTGGCTTGCTCAGATGGGTTCCCTATTCATATCATGCCCCTAGATCATGCCAACACTATCCACCTTAGTAGAAAAGATCACTCTTGTTCAAATGGAGAAACCTGAGGCAGATAAAGATGACACAGATGTACATTGTGGGCCTCTATCTGTGTCCTAAGAGGGACACGTTACTGTCTCAGATATCTCATTCTGTTATAACAGAAATACCACGAGTGGATGGCTTTAAGCAGAAATTGATTTTCCTACAGTTTAGGAGGCCACAAGTCCAAATTCAGGGTGCTGGTTTCAGGGGAATGCTTTCTTTCTGTATTGGCTTTGGAGAAAAGTCCTTGTCTCTTCTGAGTTTCTGCTCCTGGGAAATCTTTACGTGTCTTGGCATCTCTCTTCCCATCTCTGTTTCTCTCGCTTGTTTAATCTCTTTTATGTCTCACTGGAGATTGACTTAAAACACCCTGCAGCTCTCATACACTGCTGGTGAGACTGTAAAGTGATACAACCACTGTGGAAAGCAGTATGGCGATTCCTTAAAAAGTTGGAATTAGAAATACCATTTGATCCAGCAATCCCATTACTAGGGAGCTCTGGTGGCATAGTGCCTAAGGCATATGACTGTTAACCAGAAGGCTGGCAGTTCAAACCCACCAGCAACTCCTTGGAAGGAAGGTTGGGCAATCTACTTCTGTAGTGACACCACCTCAGAAACCTAAGGAGGGATTGCTTGAGTCGGATCTGACTCAACGGCAGTGGGTTTGGTGTTTTTGGTTATCTAAAGAAGTGAGAGCTAGGACAAGAACAGATATATGCACACCCATGCGCATCACAGCACTATTTACAATAGCAAAAAGATGGAAACAATCTACGTGCCCATCAACAGAAGAATGGATAATCAAACTATGGTACATACACACAATGGAATACTATGCAACACTAAAGAATAATGTAATCTACAAAGCACTGCATAAGGTGGATGGACTTGAAGGACATTATGCTGAGTGAAATAAGTCAATTGCAGAAGGACAAAAATTGTATTAGTTAATTATTGTAAAAAGTCAAGGAAAGGTTTATACATGGAAGGAAGCTTTCTTTGTTGGTTACCAAGGGTAGGAGAGGAGGGGAGAGAACACTGCTAGATAGGTAGAGACAAATATTGATTTTGGTGAAGGGAAGGGCGATGCACCAAATGTGAGTGATCAACATGGTGGCATTGAGGAAGAGGAAGACATAGAGAGGTACCTGGGAGGTACAGACAACAAATATGAACGCTTTTGCATGTACAGGAGGTCTGGTGGCATAGTGCCTAAGGCATTTGACTGCTAACCAAAAGGCTAGTGGTTCAAACCCACCAGCCACTCCTCAAAAGGAAGATGGGACAATCTACTTTCATAGAAACATTGCCTCAGAAACCCAAGGAGGGGTCGCTGTGTGTCAAATCGACTTGACGGTAGTGAGTTTGGTTTGGTTTTTTGGTTTGCATGTACCGTATTGCATTGTCAATGATGGCAAGCATTGATCTACAGGTGGATAGATGGGTGGACAGGCTTAATGATCAGGTATGTCTATGCAGGGGGTAGTGTGCCCATGACCATGTATAGGGTTGGCAGATGATATTTCTACATGTGTACTTGTATGTCCTGTAAGAATATCCAGGTGCATAGTAGAGCTGACAAGGGACAAGATTGTGGTGACTTCTTGGCCACAGCCAGCTACCCGGAGGGAGCAAGTAGTTGGACCTGTGGTCTTGGGACCATGGTTGCAGGCCTAACACACTACATAAAAACATTGTTCTACATCCTACTTTGGTGAGTAGTGACTGGGGTCTTAAAAGCTTAAAGCAACCATCTAAATGCAACAATGGGTCTCTTCTTGTATAGAGCCAAGTAGAATGAAGAAAACCAAAGAAATATGGAAACAATTAGTCCAAGGGGCTGGTAGACCATGCAGTCTTCAGCCTATATGACCATAAGAACAGAAGAACTGGATGGTGCCCGACTACCACTGTCAACTGCCTGGAGGGGGATCGGTGCAGGAGATTCTGGATAGAGTGGGAGAGCAATGTGGAACAAAACTCAAAATCATAAAGAAAAAAAAAAAAAGAAGAGGTTTGCTGGTCTGATAGAGCCTGGCAAAACACCTGAGGCTATGGCCCCTAGCTACCCTACAAGTCTGCAGTTGAACCCACTCTTGTGGCTTCCAGCCAAACAAAAGAGAGGCACATGAGCAGAACATTTACATCAGGTAGATACACTCCTTGAAGCGATCAATCATGGAAGAACAGAAGGGCAGTGTATGCACAGGGAGACATCTTGGAGTGCATGGTAGGGAAGAACACAGGGAAGAGGTAATTACAGGGAGGAAGTGGGAAGAGAGCTGTTACATTGTGTGGAATTGCAGTCAGTGCCTAAGACAAAATATGTATGAACTGAGGAATGGAAGATGAATTTGCTCTGTAAACATTCACTCAAATCACACTAAAAATTAAGAACAACAACAACAAAACCACCCCCTGCATTAATCCTGTCTTACTGACATAACAAAGTCAACCCATCATTAAATGGAGTATAACCACAGGCTTAGAGGTTAGGATTTACAAGGCATATTTTTTGGGGACACAGTTCAATCCATCACAATCACGTAGGTAGTATTCTCATTGAGAATGTGTATCCTGAATGTAATCATGTTGAAATTTCAGCAAAGGCAAAATAAGGTATGCCCTTTTTTTCTTTCTTTTTTTAAATTGTGATCTGTGCGAAAGTTTACAGAGCAAATTTGTTTTCCATTCAGCAGTTCATACACATCTTGCTTCATGACATTAATTTAATCCCCATAATGTAACAGTTCTCTTCCCCCTTCCTCCCTGTGGTTACCTTTCCCTGTGTCCTTCTTTCCTATGCCTTCCTGCCCCAAATGAGCTATGCTCCATTGAAAGGAAGGAGTGGCTGTATTCCTCAAACATTCCAATGCTACAAAAGACAAAGTACAAAAAAGACCAAGCTTACTGGTCTGACAGAGACTGGTGAAACCCCGGTGACCATGGCCCCTAGTCACCCTTAGGGCTTGGATCTGAACTCGTCCATGGCTTCCAGCCAAACAATAGACAGGCATAAAGGTGAACATTTACATCAGGTAGGTACACTCCTTAGAACAATCCACCACGGGAGATCCAAAGGGCAGGGAGATAGCTCAGAGGGCAGGAATGCATAGAAAAGAAGGACACGGGAAAAAGGTAACCACAGGGAGGAAGTGGGAAGAGAGCTGTTACATTATGGGGACTGCAATTAATGTCATGAAACAAAATGTGTATGAACTGTTTTATGGAAAATGAATTTGCTCTGTAAACTTCCACCCAAATCATGCACACACAAAGAGAAAGTACATTATTGGGTGAATTCATAAAATGGAATACTGATGTGGATTAGATAAATGTTATTTTATGAGATTGATTACTGTAATTATGTAAGAGAATGTCCCTATTATTAAGAAATAGTCACTGAAGTATTTAGAAACAAAGATCCATGGCATACAGACTCACTTTCAAGTGGTTCAGAAAGAGAGACAGAGACCAAAGCAAACCAAACAAAACTCATAAATAAATTCTTAAAATAGGTGAATCTGGGTAAATGGTGTACAGACGTTCTTTGTACTATTCTTACTCTAGTAACTTTGAAATTATTTCCAAATAATAAAGAAGTTAAAAGCAACCCATTTAATGATCCACATGACTCAAATTTTATTTTTCTAATTAATAATTTTTCACATAAGCAAAGAGGGAAAGATTAGCCCATCTGAAAATATTGCACCTTTTAAAATGTGTTGAGATTTTTCTTTCTTTCCCCCTTTTTTTTTTACCGTGATTTGGGTGAGGGTCTACAGAGCAAATTTACCTTCCATACAGCGGCTCACATACACCCCGTCTCATGACATTGACCACAGTCTATCATAATGCAACAGCTCCCCTCCCACTTTCTCCCCACAGCCACCTCCTCCCTGTGTCCACCCCTCCATGCACTCCTGCCCCCTGAGCTGTCTCCCTGCAC